AGCGGCAGCAGGGCCCTGGCAGCCCTGGTGTGGCCATCAGCCCACTGCTGCACCAGCCTGGAAACCTCTAACCTGGGGTACGGTGGGGTCCCTGGCTGTGATGGGGGGCTGCGAGATGGCTTGTGGGGCCACTGGCTCCTTTGCCACAAACATGCCGCTAACCCTAAACTAATCTCCCGACTCTCGGCTGGCACTGGCAGACTCTAGCACTTAACCCTGCTCAGCCACGCCAAGCCCCTTCCCGGGCTGTTTGTTCCAGTTTCTTTTTGGGTGTTGGCTTCCACCCCTGGTGTGCAGACACCCCCCAGCACTTGGGCAGCGTGCCGGTGGCAGAGACGCAGAAAGGGACAGGACATGGGGAGGATGCAGGCGGAGCAGGTGGGAGAGCAGCACGAGCATCCCCCAGCACAGCCCCACCTCGCTGTGTGCCCTGCAGCCCTGGGACCCCCGGGGGCTGCACCCGGGGCCGGGGCAGCTTGGTACGGCGCTGGCTGTCACCTCCCTGCGCGCACTTGGGAGCTCTGTCACCCTGCACTGCTCTGTGCTTTCCTTCACGCTTCCCCCGCTGGCAGGAGAGCCCTGGGGTTAACTTGCTGGGGCTTTTTCTTTTTTTCAGTTAATAAATGCAACAGGTCGTAGACATGATGTCCCTCCCTGACCTCTGCCACTAGCAGTGAAAAGGGAGGAAAAAGGAAGCGGCAAAGCCCAGCTCTCCCTGTGCGGATGAGCTCCTTGCCTCCCGACGGTGTTTCTGGTGCTGGGCCATGGGGAGTAACAAGTTGGGCTGGTTTTAGCATGGGAAAGGATAAGGTTTTAGCCCCGGGAAGGGAAAGGGTGGAGAAGCAGCCTGTGTGGATCCCATGAACAACGTGTGGTGCAAGCTGCAGCCCCTGCAGTGGAGCCAGGCTTCCCAAAAAAAGGAGCACCAGCACGGCACCTCCGTGGGGACTGGAAAAGCCGGCTTCTCCCACCAAGCCTGGGCAGGACAGGCAGATGTGGACCCGTCCCAAAGCAGGCAGCTTGCCCGAGCCCTGCAGAGCCACAGGTGGACTAGGATGGGGGTTTTGGCTGGGGACCTCACCCCGCAGGCAGATGCACTGTGTTTCCATCAGCGGCGGGATGCGTCCCAGCTCTGCCTGGAAGGTACGCACCCAACCCACACTTTTGGCTGGAGCGTGTGCTGCCCCAACACGCACAAGGAGAGACAGACACCGGGATCCCTCAGGGATCCCAGACTGACAGCGAGGGATCCTCGGGGAGCTCCCAGGCTGGGGCAGCAGCGGCAGCACCAGGGAGCTGGGGCTGGAGAGGATGAGTGGCCGAGGAGGAAACAAGATGGGCTGGAGCCGCAGCAGCCCGGACCGGTTTTGGGGAGGCAGGCACCCCGGATC